GAGACTAACATACTCTAGAAGGTGAATTAATAGTGAAGCTGAACCATTACAAAAGTAAATGCGGCAACAATTCCAGTCTCAGCCTCACAAAGATGTGACAGCTACTCTATTTGTTAAATTCTAGAATCACAAAGCATCTAATCACAAACAGCAACCAGAAATAGGATGGGACTTTTGGAATGTGAGGACTTCCAGGCCCATAATTTTACAAGAATCTCCCAGACAGGATTATATGGGTGACAGCCTCCAAACCAGGTGGCGTTTAAGCTGCCATCACTACTTCCTTGCATGGGTTCTTCTTCAAATGGAAAGAAAAGTGCCCCAGGTTGTCTGCATCTCATAAGGATTCAGGGTCAGGCAGATCCTGACACCCAATATACTTGTCTAGAAGCAGTCTCCAACAGCTCTACCCTGGGCCTCTGCAAGTTGCAGAGATCCTTGGGACAATCTCTCTCTAATCCTAGAGTGGTCTTAACCGACCAGATAGGCGGGATATAAATAAAATAAAATAAAATATTTGTTTTCCCATTTATTTAATTCTGTGATCAGCTTGCTGGGGGGGGCAATGTGTAGCCTTTATAATTAAAATTGTAAATCGCCCGGAGAGTGCTTGTAGCGCTATGGGGCGGTATATAAGTCCAATAAATAAATAAATAAATAAATAAATAAATAAATAAATAAATAAATAAATAAATAAATAATCACTAAAATGAGTTTCAATGACAGTATATATACACATGCAGTATGTGTTCAGCTGGTGAAACTGGATTGGCAACAGTGTGTGTGAGAAGAATCAGAGGTCTTACTGGACCACAAGTTAAACCTGAGTCAACAGTGTGATGTTATAGGGCTAAAAAGAAAAAGAAAAAACCCAATCAACTAACATATAATCTCCAGATCAAGTGAAGCAACAGTGCCACTCTCTTCTACATATGTGGGCACCAATCTTTCAGGAAAAATACTGACAAGCTAGAACCTGTCCAGAAAACAGTAGCCAAAATAGTTAATGATCTGGGGAAAAAACAAGCCCTATGAAAAATGATTGAAGGAAATTGGTAGTTCAGGCTACAAGAGAGAAGGCTGAGTGGTGATATGACAGCTATCTTTAAATATCTGGACCTAAAGTATTGGAATCAAATTGCAAGAAGAGAAATTTCAACTATCATTAGGAAAAATTTCCTGACAGTAAGAGCCATTTGACCATGGTATTGACTGTATTGAAATTAGTTGCTTTTCTTAACATTTAATTAGTTTTTTATTTTGGCTATATTTCATGTGTGCCCATGATGTTGCAACGTATATTAGCGAAATGGCAACTAAGTGCTAGAACAGTGAAAAGAACTGTGGTACTAATATTATATTGTCGCTAAATAAACATATAAGTAGTTGCTGAAACATCCCTGGGTAACGATTTTCACAGAAGTAGCCATGCTAATTTGTCCCAGCATTCTGGCAAATATCAAGGGTGAAAAAATATTGTGGCATTTAAAGTACTAACAGATTAATTTCAGTGTGAGGTTTCACTTCTTCAAATATACAGAGGGCAAACAAGCATTCCATACATTTATCGCCATATTAATGAGAGTCAGATCCAGGTAAGGATACAGAGAACAAACAAAGCAACAACAGTTTATTAATACAGTGGCGCCTCGTTTAGCGATGTTAATTCGTTCCGAAAAAATCACTGCTAAGCGATTTCATCGCTAAGCGAAACGCGGTTTCCCACTGAAATGCATTGAAAACCAGATAATCTGTTCCAATAGGAACCAATTGCCGTCCTTAAGCGAAAATCACCATACAAAACATCGTAAGTGAAACGCGGTTCCCCAATTGAAATGCATTGAAACCTATTCAATGCATCCCAATGGGCGAAAAAAATACAACAAATTAAAAAAGAGTCAGAACAAAGTCACATTTGGTTAACAAAGGGTTTATTAAGTGCACTTTATGATTTCAAACATTTTAAACAGTAAACTTTTTTATAAATAACAGAAAAGCATTTAAAAAACAGCAAACATGAGGCTGTTTAAACCATCGTTAAGCGAAACAGGGGACCCAAAATTTAATCGCTATGCGAAGCATGGAACCAACCATCGCTAGGCGAAAATCGCCCATAGGGACCATCGCTAAATGAAGCACAAAACGCTCCAAAAAAGTTGTCGCTAAGCGATTTCGTCGCTAAACGGAGTGCCCGTTAAGCGAGGCACCACTGTAAAGGAATTTCATTAACACAGGAATGAGACTTTCAAGCTGCAATCAGTAAACCCTAGCCAGGCGATAGAGAATGCCAGACAGCTTTGGATGTCACAGGAATGGTAAGAACTATTTTGTACAGTCAGGCTGGCACTCAGGAACAGCCTGTTACAATGAAGACCAATGGAGAGAATAACAGAACACCATTAGTAGTCACATACAGCTGATTTCGTTAACACAGGAATGAGACTTTCAAGCTGCAATCAGTAAACCCTAGCCAGGCGATAGAGAATGCCAGACAGCTTTGGATGTCACAGGAATGGTAAGAACTATTTTGTACAGTCAGGCTGGCACTCAGGAACAGCCTGTTACAATGAAGACCAATGGAGAGAATAACAGAACACCATTAGTAGTCACATACAGCTGTCAACCGAGACCACTGAGAAGAATCATCAATGACCTGCAGCTCACAAGAGATAACACAACACGGAGATGGAGACAGAAACAAGATCCTGTCACAAACCTGGATGCCATTTGTGCCTCCAACACGTACACTGGCAGCACCTTTAAGCATTCCAACAGTGTCAGCCACAATATCCATGGCTTATTCATTTATTTATCCTCTACTGTGATTTATGTCATCTTTTACCAGCAGTGCTTTCTACACAGGACAATTTTAATACAAAGGAATGAACACACACAAATTTGACATCAGGCATTTCAGAACACTTGAATCTCCCAAGACATTCTCCTATGGATCTCAAAGGAACTACAAAAGTAGACTCCGGACAAAGACAGCAGAAATTTGCTCCATGAACAAGTTTCAGTGCATCCTTAAGAGCCTAAATAGAGATTAAGGCTTTTCAGTGCACTACCTATATTAATAACATGTGTTGCTGTAAGATAGGTTTCTCCCTTGGCAGCCTGTCAGCCTGTCCCATAAACAATTGTTTGAACTTCTGGATTTGGACAGCCAAATCCACCTGCCATACATCTTATCATCCTGCCTAGAACCTGCTGATCATAACTTAACAGTCCCATTCCTGTATTAATGAAACATACTCATATTGTGTGTTATATGCATCTTCACTTGAATAATACTTCCACCAATTATCCTGTTGGAGATAATTAGAAGGGAAATGTGTTTACATTACTTGCATATGAAGAGATGAATTTTAATCTACAAAAGTTCACAATGAAATACATTTATTAGTCTTTAAAATGCTGCAATATTTTGCCCCCCCTTCCCCATTTTTGTTTTTACCAAGTTCCTTGGGTAGCTTTGTTCCATTTTAGTTTTGTTCCCGTTTTCTTCCAGTTTCCATATCTAGAGACTCCAGCCAATTCCTTCTGCTTCATCTTACTGAAACTGCACATTGCATCTCATCAGTGCCGCCATGTTACTCAGGGAGAAACACAGTACAGTACTTTTGTGTACCCATTTTTATTTTGAACATCTCTGTCTCTTTTCCCAGATGTGACGACTGCATATTTAACAAACAGGAGTCAGCTGAAGGCTGAAACTTATATAATTGCATAGTATTCTTTCATCCTGAAAACATGGGAATTCTGAAGTATTCTCCCAACTCAGTTTAAGGAAACATTTTGGAGTGGTGTTTTACCTTAACAAAAATGTTACAGAACCAAAGTTATCTGGAACGAGGAGATAGGCATACTAGGCTGAACATGCCCATCCAAGTATAGTACCAGGTTTGGCTAATACTTGAGTGGGATATCTCCAGGGAACACCAAAGAGCTCCAGATAGGGCTAGTAATACATTTTGTCTGTAGAGTCACTGTCAGCAAATGTTAATACTGGGCTACATGGACCAACGGACTGACTCAGTACAAGACAGCATCCTATGTTCCTATAAGATACTACTACAGAAGATTTTCTATTTCCAATCTGTAAGTCCTTTCAGATTTATACTCTCACCAGAAAATGTCAAAGTTGTATTATTTAGTCATCCTCAAGCAATTTAATGCCCTTGATAGATGCTAGACTTAATACTGCAGAGAACAGAGCCTCTCTGTTTATAAAAGAATGCATATTACACATGCAACACCACTTTCCCTAACAGTGTCTTGGCAGAACCATGATACCAAAGAAATGAACAGAGTGGGGGCGAAGGAGTAATTGACACTGTTTTCAATACAGAAAGTTATTACCAACACTATTTAGCAATACAGAGACAATACCAAATGAACACTCGGAGATAGCAGCCTTGTGATTTCTCCTAATAACACATAATTTACACACAGATCTTTGCTTTGTGGAGATTTGTTTCAGCGGCCCCAAAAGCATAAAAACCTCATTCTTCCTTTCTTTCCTCCCCTCCTGTCAAAGTTCAGATTTTTATCCACACTGTTCTCTTGACAGAGAGTTGTCTTCTTTAGTTGTGTACATTATCCTGCAAGATGTCATACACATTAACAGCACTCCACAAAATATTTCTTAAAAACAAAGCGGTATTTTTATTCAGCTTCTGCCCAACGAAATACTATAAAGACTGTAATAAATGCAGGATATTGTCTACAGTCCTCTCATTAAAATTCAATCTGACAAACCTCTTCCTCTATTACAGGTACGAACATGAACACTGAACTTTGTAGTTGTTTCCTATATTAAAATATATATTTGAGATTCTAACAAAAACGATTAACAATACAAATATACCATTTACTGCCAAACGAAGTACACAATTGAGTACTAACACTGAACATAGTTTATCGGGTGTGCACTGGATACCAGGCAGAGATAATCAAATCTGAATTAAATGACATATTTATTAAAAATGTTCTCTTACATCTTTTGAAGGACTTGAGCCATCACAACTCCATTGGTTAAATCTTCTACTGTCTGGCATGGTGCTTCCACATTAAATGTTTGGATCTGAGGAGGAATGCAAACATTCAATCAAACTCCATCTATTTTACAATACAGTGCAATATTTATTTTGTTTTTATCTACAATGCTTGCACAGACTAATATGGCTACTTCTACGTATAATATCTGCATATCACGAAATTTCAAGAATGATGCAATACTATTAGCATCCAGGTACAGCATTGAATAGTTTAGCCCACAAAAGTAAACACAGCACTGTATCACAATTTCTAACCAAAATGTAAATAAAGAGGAGGTAGGCATGGTTGCTGTTATCAGAAAGGCCCAGTCTACTGGCATATACCACAGAGTAGGAGAAAGTTATGTGTCCATAATAAGGAGATAAATCTAACTTAACACTGACATCAGCATCTGGCTTTGGGCAAATACCAGGCTCCCCAAACCTTGGCAGAGACACTGGTTCCACTGGCCCTGGGACACCACCCTCTTATTTATTTAAAACCAAGGTCTTTACAGCACTTTAGCTACTATGTCATTATGCTGCATAAAAACAAACAGATCACAACACAATGAAAAACGTTCACCCTCTGAAAAATTTGGGGAGGGGAGGACAACAAAAAGGGAGGCACTCAATGGTTAATCGCTTTGCTAACCTCCCTGTTTTTCAACCTTAAAATCACTACAGGTTTTACTCAATCTGTACAGAATTTTACAGTAGAAGACATTGATTTTTGCAAATATGCTTGAAATATGTAGCTGTAATCTTCATTTCACTCAACTGGTAATTACTAGGAAGCACCTAGAGTATCAAAAAATGTCTGCTTCCTTCTTCTCATGGAGCAGATGCCATGGACTCTCACCTGAGAATGCATACAACCAGAGGCACACTAGCCTATGTTATACTTGAAACCAACTGGCCCCTCAAAAGATAACACCTAAAACAACAGCATCCTTGTTGTGGTGTAGAACATTATTTTCCCACCAACCTAGGGGTTCGAAAGCATGCAAATACGAGTAGATAAATAGGGACCACGTCAGTGGGAAGATAACAGCGTTCCGTGTCTAAGTCGCACTGGCCATTTGACCACAGAAGATTGTCTGCGGACAAATGCTGGCTCTACGGCTTGGAGACGGGGATGAGCACTGCCCCCTAGAGTCGAACACGACTGGACAAAAATTATCAAGGGGAACCTTTACCTTTAGAGCATTATTTTAATACAGGCATGGTAGTGACTGTGGGGCATTTTATAGGCTTTTTTAAAATAAAAAGACGCAATAAGGAATGTTTGCAGACTTAAATCTTTCTCCCCAAGAGTAATAATATGTAACCAATTCCTCTTCATTCTTTTCCCAGGGTGTTAACTTTCTAATGACCTGTAAAAAGAATGGGAACACAATTTCAGTTTGCCCAGATTCGCTCAGGTGCTACACAGCTTCATATGAAAAAGTTACAACTGAACCATCCTGTTGACACATACAATCATTTGATCTACCCCAGCCAGTTCTTAAAATGTTCACAAACCAGTCAGATCACTTGGGTGGACATGGAAAGTTTTAAAAGCAGCGCAAGTACAAGCTTAACACGTTTTCTTGCCCAAGCAATCCAAACTAACTTCGGATGTCATAGAAGAATAGCTCACCCACTTAGAAGTGAATTATAATTAACTTCTAAGAAAAATGCACCTCTACAAACTTCCCTTCAATCTTTCACTTTAAACATCTGTAAAGCTTCCAAAAGTTTTTTTTTTAATACTGTATAGGTATTTCTTTCAAAGGATGTCTGCACCTATTTTCTACTTAGTCCATTTGACTCTATGTCATCTATCTTATTTGCTGTGAACTGCCCTGAAAGCAAGACTAGCAGGGGATGGTACATTTTTTAAAAATATATTACATCATTTGATATCTTATTTCTTGCATCTCAGTGGTCATCTTCACATATCCAGCAAACCCCATTATGCACCCACTCCTTTAGTGAACTACATTAGTTCAGATACGTACTACAATCTCAGTACAATAAACTATGATTTATTAGACCAAGGATTAAGTACAACCCAATAACATACTCTTCCCTTCTTTCTCGTTATATACTCTAATTCAGCACTTAAAAGCAGCTACAATTTCTTGCAACATCCAACCTGGAAACAATGGTTTACTCATGCCTACTAAACAGATACAAAGAAATGGATAGACATCATAGTTTGCAGGGAACATATACTGTATACTACAATTTCTCAGTTTGGATAAACCTGTGGTTTGAGGTACTAAATTCGGTCCTAAGTTAAAAGAGATGAAAACAACCAGACAAAAGGATCATTCTTTCAGATAAACCATGACTATCAGGAATGACTAATATCTGAACTAAGCCTCCGACCTTCTGTAGTACAAAAAATGGTTTCCCATTCTTTACCCCGTGAGCCACTGTAAATGATATTTTTCAGAAACACTGCAGAAACATTATGACTGAGCATGCCCCAGGTTGCACATGATGTTCAGAAGAAAGCTCTACTGTACATCTATGACATCTGCCTCTTTGGATCCCAGCCCGTATTTACACAGAGGCATGTCAATGAAACTGGGGAAAAAATCTGAACCAGTCTGCCCTAAACAGAATTTGAGAACTAGAAGCTATGACAGAGATTGGATGACTCAAGCTTAGATAGCAATGCTACATACTGTGTTTCCCCGAAAATAAAACAGGGTCTTATACTAATTTTTGCTCCAACAATGCAGTAGGGCTTATTTACAGGGGATGTTTTATTTTTTTTCCATGTGCAACAATCTACATTTATTCAAATACAGTCATGTCATCTTCTGGTTGCTGCACAATGCTGCACCATGGTGGAGGGTGGGGTTTCACTTAACTAGGGCTTAATTTTGGGGTAGGGCTTATATTACAAGCATGCTTAAAAATCATACTAGGACTTATTTTCAGGTTAGGGCTTATTTTTGGGGAAACAGGGTAGATTCCCTTTTGTAAATGTCACTGCTACCAAACAATATTTTTGGCAGAAAAAGCATTCTCTTACTTAAAACCCAGTAGTGTATATATGTGAATATACCTAACATTTTGTAATGAACTTAAACATTAGAAGAGTATACAGCTTTCACATACCCCGAATTGTCATTACAACCTACGTAATTTATGGTCTTTAAATACAGTTTGTTTCAGCTTAAACATATGTTGCTATGTGGCATCAAGATGCTTCCCATTTATGGTGACCCAGTGTGATGCAGTGGACAAAGCAATGGATTAGGACTCAGGAGACCTGGGTTCAAATCCCTCACTCAGCTACAGAAACTGATGAGGGAAGTGAGAGAACCACTGGTAAAACCACTACTTAAGTATTTACTTACCTTGAAAGCTCTACTAGGGTTGCTATAAGTTGGTTCTAAATTGACAGCACATAACAAGGACACACATACACACAAAGTAATGCCATTAGCAGCCCTGCTCAGGTACTGCAAACTAAAGTCCCTCTATCACATGACAGGTCTTCCTCTTTTCCTACTATTTTCCACTCTTCCTAGAGTTATTAACTCTTAATTTCCAATGATACGACACTACAACAACTTAAGGTTAGTTGTTATAGCTCAGCCATTCTCAGACTTTTTTTTCCTCATGGCTATAAACACAATATGAAAGAAATATAGGCAGAATCAGGATTGTATAAATTGCATAACAAACCTTATAAGGTGATGTGTGAATAATTGTTTCAAGTCTGTGGTCCCTTTCAAATACACGAGGGGCCCCCAGGGAACCATACTGCGCCCCCCACTGAGAATGGCTATATAGCTGCTAGTAAGAGTTCAAGGTTCTCCTTGTCTAGAATTCATTTACTTATCTTTTTGGCAGCCCACAGTATTGGTAGAGATCTCCAACTCCACTTTTCCAGTGAATCTTTTTTTCCTATTCATTTTCTTTCTTGTTTTCACGTTCATACAAAGTAAATAGCAACACTACAATATGAATAATCTTGGTCTCCAGTGGCACATAATTTCATGTGAGGATTTTTTTTCTAGTTTCCTTATAGCTGCCCTTCTGAGTCTCACCCCTCTTCTGATTTCTTGCTGCAATCGCCATCTGGATGGACAACTGAAGTACAGAAAAATCTTCAACAATTTTAATTTGCTCAGTGTTAAGATTAAAATTTTCTTCTTAATGTAATCCTGCTTTTTAATGTTTAAATGTCACTCTCTTGGATGCATACTTTGTGTAGTGTAGTGTAGTCAGTGCAGCTAAGAGCAGTATCACCAGAGCACTAAACTCCATTGCAAATCTAGACTCTTAGCAGGATCACCAAAAGGGGAATGGTGAAAGCACAGACATCAGACTAAAATGAAACCATCCTCAAGAGTATTTAATGGTCCTGTCAGCAGAAGAACACTGATAGTTCCCATGATGATGACTGGGGTGGAGGAGAAATTCTAGAAGAGCAGCTAATGGCAACAGCATTAACAGACACTGATACAGGTGGAGGACCTTTCACAGACAACAGCAGCCACAAACACTCAAGCTAATCCTTGCTAGTACAACACAAAATAAAGCAATGGTGAACTGTTTCTAAATGTTTTACACCCTGAAAAAATTATGACAAAAATCATATAGGCATATGAAAGTACAAACATACAAAGCAATGGACACAGATACACTAATATAAAAGGTTTTTGCATAAACTTTTTTCAGACATTGAGCAACGGTTATTAATGCCAAACTTTAGATGAGGAGGATTCAAACTCAGAGGAAAATAGAATTAATTTCTAATTAATAGAAATATTTCTTACTTCTTATTGTTAGTAATCAATCACATTTTATTCTACAAATTAGCAAGTTGATTTCTCCACAGACTTTATCAATGATCATTCACTTATTTTGCAATTGGCTGAAACATTAAAATTGTTGTGGTTACTATAATAGAAAAAAGTACCCTACAAATGCTTCTTTTCTAAACTCCCTGGCTAATCTGTACAAATACTTGGAACCACAAGCCTTGTGTAGACTTTTATTATATTCATTACTATTAATTCATTATATTGATGTGTTA